CTACAAGTTTGAGGCTAGCCTTTGTAATTTAGTGAGCACCAAAGAAATTTAGATAGATCCTGTCTTAGAATTGAACACACAGAGACACAAAAGGCTGGTGATGTAGCTCTGTTGTAAATCACCCCTGTATTTAATTCCCATTACCAAATAACAATAATAACAATAATAATAAAATAAAAAGATTAAATTGATCTTTAAAATAATAAAAAGTTGGGGGGGTTAGCTCATTGGTAAAACACCCCAGGTTTGGGGGGGGGGGAAGAAGAAAATAAAAAAATAAGAGGCTACTGTATATTTTCCCAAAGTATTTATAAAGTTTCTGTAGGGATTTTAAGATTAAAGTGATTTAATTTTATTATTCTGTTTTTCAGTATTTAAAATAAAATTTCTGGTAATTAGTTTCTGGTTCTTCTGTAATTGCAAAGTAAAATCTAAATATGTGTTTGCATTGTTTGGCTTAAAAAAAATGTATGGCTCACTTAGAGTTTTCAAACTTGTAAAGCTAACTTTTAATTCTGCCTATAGATATAAGGACCACCTTTCCCTGAGAAAATGTACAAAAGTTCCTTCCAAGATGGATTTGAAAGCTGATACCCAAGAGATGAAAAATTCAGGATTGTTTCACTTTCCTTTGAATTCTTCACTGGTATCAACTGCACCACATAAATGAGAAAAATATTGGATTGCTACATGACAATGTTCTCCTCAAACCCTGATTACATATATATATATATATATATATATATATATATATATATATATATATCCCCCAATAAATCTTAGAACCAGAGACCCTGAAATCAAGATTGTTTAGAAGCTGAATTAAACCAGAGGCTGTCATTCTTAAACATTAACATTTTTAAGAGCCATATAAGGTGGGCATCATGATGGGTGCCTCTAGTTCAGGTGCAACTGAGCCTAGAAATTAGAGGATAGCCTGAGCAACATCGTGAGACATTCGATTTTTTTTTTAACTAAATGCAGCACAGTGTTACAGAATCTATTTCAGAAATATTTTAAATTTAATCTTATATTTTTTATTTGACAGATACAATCACATATGCTTATGTACAACATAATACTTTGAAGTACATACACATTGTGGAATCACCAAGTTTATCTAATTAACTAATGCATAACTTCACTTAATTATTTTATGATAAGACTATTTAACATCCTTCAGGCATGGTGGCACATGCCTGTAATTCCAGCTGCACAAGAGGCTGAGGCCAGAGGTTCACAAGTTCGAAGACAGCCTCAGTAACATAGTGAGGCCCTAAATAATTCAGAAAGAAGCTGTTTCAAATTTTTTTAAAAAATAAATAAATAAAAAGGCTGGGGATTGGAACAGCAGTTAAGACTACTGGGTTCATTCCCTGGTACCAATAAATAAATAAAATACTTGGCATCCACTGCCGTATTTGTAGACATACAATGTATTATTATTAAATAAACTCACCATGGTGGACAATGGCTAAATTTTCCATACATACTAACCAAAAAATTTTCAATTACAGTGAAAGCAGTGCACATTAAACTATCAATTTCCAGTAGATATCAATTTAATCATGTAATTTGAGGCATGATACACTTCTTTGAACTAATATAGCATTTATGTACATATTTGTTTATTTATTTTTAGTCCTGACAATTGAATCCAGGGGTAATTAACACCATAATAAGCCAAAAATCAGGGAGGAAAAACAAAAAGTTTTACTGCACAGCTGCCCTGACACACACCAATGTTTTTAGTATAGCTTAATTCAAAGAATGTTGTGCTTAATGCTCTGTAATCCATGGATGTTGACAAAATAAGGACTAGTGGGTCTTGGTTAAGTAGAATACTCTGAAAAAAGTTTCCTAAGCAACTGTCAGTCAAAGCTATTGAGTCTCTACAAATACCAACTCTGCCAATCCTGAGAACAGCAACCCACTCAGAGCCAGAGCACCATACCTTCTTTGTCAGAGCAGGTCATATTTCTTTACCCTTTGGTTATTTGATTGCCATTTTCCCCTCTGTAGAGGGTGTAAGTGAGCAACCCAGCCACACTGCCAACAGTAGTTCACTTCACCACAAATTCTCCATGTGGGGAAATTCAGATTCAGAATTATAAAAGGATGATTCCATTTCATAAATAACTCACAGGACCATCTCTAGGGGTCTTTCTTGCCAGCATCAAATAAGAACTGTTGCTCTAGCTCATTGACATAAACTGATTATACATTTTGAAACATTTTTTTTATCTATAAATAAATGGTTTTGAAATCTTTAGGATTTTTTGCTGTCTTAATGACAGCTAAAACTTTATAGGATGCTTACTACATGTCAGGTAATGCATTAATCCTGGCTCATTTAATATACATAACACCTTTCTGAATTGCTAAAATTATGAAGAAATTAAGTTTTAAAAAAATTAACCTTGAGGCTGGGGTTATGGCTTAGCTGTAAGGCACTTGCCTCGCATGTGCAAAGCACTGGGTTCGATCCTCAGCACCACATATAAATAAATAAAATAAAGTTAAATATAAAAAGGAATTCAAAAAACTCAAAATAAAAAATTAACCTTGAAACAAAGAAAAAGAAAAATTTTTAAAAATTAAGCTTGGAGAGAATAAAGAGTTTAAGATTACCTGTTAATGCAACTACATCTTGGGATTGACTCAGAAAATCAAGTATAGAAGCACTTCATTAAGCTTCTCATTAATACTTGCCATCTCTGAAAACCTGCAATAAGATATTACTTAAGACTGAGGACTAGAGATGGGCTTAGTGCTACACAAATTTAATTCCATTGATTCAATAGGCTGAGACAGAGGATTGCATGTCTGAAGCAAGACTCATGAATTTTTTGGGATTCGAAACACCCTAGTTAGACCTGGTCTCAAAATAAATAACTTTAACAGGCTGGGATGTAGCCCAGTGGCACAGCACCATTGGGACCAGTTCCCAATACCCTAAACAAACAAAAAATTATCAAACAATTGAGAACAAGAAAAAATCTTGAAAAGAAGAAAAACACTAAAGAATAGTTCTGATGCTTTGTTGGAAATAGAATCATTCATTATGCTTCTAACACCCTGATTTCTATTACTTTTTCATTTGTGTGTGTGCACATGTGTCTGTGTGTGTGTGTTTTTCTGATTCTTGCCCTATCTGCAATTTAAAAAAAAAAATAATAATCCATCAGATTTAGAGCAGCTTTTTTTCTTTATGAAATTACCTATGTCAGTTTGGTTTTATAAAAAACAGATTTTTGGAAGATTCCAAAGAAACACAGATGGATGAGCTTGAAAGTTTACATCTATCCCACTGCCAAGCTCCATCCAGTTTATAACAAAAGAGTGTCCTAAGCTAAATTCTGCCACATGTCTGCCTTTTGTTAATTAAACTTTGTTAAAAGTTGAGTAGAAAATTATTTCCCAAAATTTAGTATAGGTTTGAGGACATTTTATACCTTAATACTTTTAGTGGTTTTGCTATCAAACCCAGGACCTTCAGCATGCTAGCCAGGTGCTCTACCACTGAGCTACATTTCCATAGCTGAGGGCAAATGCAAGTACCACAATGCCAAACTTTTTTTTTTTTTTCTGTCCCTGGGTATGAAACTCAGAGCCTCTCACATGCAAGGCAAGTGTTCTACCTCTAAGTTATCCTCCAGATGCCTCTTTTTATTATTATTTTGAGACAGCTTCTCACTAGGTTGCCCAGGATGGCTTCAAATTGTGGATCCTCATGTCTCAGCCTCCCTAGTAGCTGGGAATGGAGTGTGTGTGAGACGACGCCCAACTCATTGTTTATCTTTTTAAAAACCAATTCAACTTGTAAGTATTCAAATTCCTCCTGATAGTTTTTCTATAATGTTTTATAGGTAGTTCCTTTTTTAGCTCAGTAGGTAGAGTCACAAAAGAAAGGCATGGTAGTGGTCACCTGAGACTTCTAGTTGCAAGATATATTTTAAAATGTTTTTTTGGGAGGGGACAGTTCATGTCAGTTTTTTTTCTCTTTTAGGCCCTGCAACTGAATGCAAGGCTTTAGTTCATGCTATGAAAGCATTCTTTACCACTGAGATACATCTCCTGACTTTCATTTTGAGTCAGGGTTTCACTAAATTGCCCAGGCTAACCCCAAACTTGCACTCCTCCTCTATCAACCTCCCAAGTACCATGAACCATCAATGCAGTTTATTCACCAGTTTTTATTTTCTGGCAGAACTAGGAGTGTCTATTTTTATTCACTATAATTTTCCTCCCAATTCTTAGAATATTGTCCAAAGTTAAAACCCCAAACAAAAAACTCCTCAGCAAAAATTTTTGAGAGAGGAATGAAAAAAATCTAAACTGGAAAAATAACCAGGTGTGGTGGTACACAATTGTATTCCTAGGGATCAGGGAGGCTGAGGCAGGAGGTTACATATTCAAGGCCAATATCATCAATTTAGCAAGGCCCAAAGCAACTTAGCAAGCCCTGCCTCAAAAATCAAATGAAAATATTAAAAAATAAATAAAAGTGGGTTCGGGTGTAGCTCAGTGTTAAATAACACCTGGGTTCAAGCACAAAAAAAATAAAGAAAGGAAAAATATAAAAGCAAAAAATAAAAATAAATTAGAGATTATAAAATTTAAACCTCAGTAGAGGAAGAAACCAATGTTGTTGTTGTTGTTGTTTTAATTGAGAGGTTGTTGTTCTAGAAAAAAAAAATTGACAATGAAATAATTATTTCAGTTAAATTATCTCTTTGCAAAACCTAAGTCATGTGAACTTTCTTATGTCTGATCCAAAAATCTCATCAAAGTTATTTACTCTCTTTTGTAAACATAGTCAGTGTGATCTTATAATCCTTTTACACCACTTGCAGAAGAAGTAACTGACAGTGGGTGTGGTTTTAGGTGAGTCCCAGGTATTTAAGGAGAGCAATTTTCTTGAAATTGCCTTTACCACTAAGGTACCTCTAAGGTGCAGACCGAATTTTCAGCTGTTGAGCTGAGGAGACATGAGAGTTACTGTACACCGTAATACTAACAAATTTTCCACACTTCCAGACCTGAGGTCTCCTAGAACTGACTCTGGTGAGTTGGAAATTTACAATAAAGGCTTTCAAGCTATCTTTCATTCTTAAAAATTGTTTGAATTTACTTGAAAACCTACTTGGGTTTGGTCCAAGTAAAAAACCTACTTTTTTTTCCTGTTTAAAATATATGTAACTACACTATATGTAAAATATTCGTTTCTGCTAAGTGATCTGAGTAATTTTCATTCTATTACCTTGTGTTTTATTAGATTTTGCAGGATTTAAATGAAATATTTCTGCAGTTTAAACCATTTTGGAACTCATATAATGCTTCAAATATTCAGTATATTTTATGTGTGTAATAGTGTTTATGCACATCAATTCAGAATTTTTTTTAAAGTGGGTACCAGGGATTGAATTTAGAACACTCAACCATTGAGCCACATCCCTAGAACTATTTTGTATTTTATTTAGAGACAGTGTACTATTGAGTTGCTTAGTGCCTTACTTTTGTTGAGGCAGGCTTTGACTCCTGATCCTCTGGCCTCAGGCTCCAGAGCCAATAGGATTAAAGGTGTGTGCCACTATGCTTAGAAATTTAATGTATAGATTTGACTGTAAAACATTTGATGTGAAAGTCCTATTTTCTGTCCCTTTAAAACCTTCAGTTTGCAAACTAGATTTGAAAAGTATCCCAGTAAATGCAACAAACTTGTAGAGGTTTTTCAAGCAGGAAGTTTGATCACTAGAGAAAAATACTAAAAATTAAGATAAATTGATTATACCTCATCAATTGCATCTCTAAACTGAAGGGTAGTCTCTGGAGAGGAAAAAAAAACATGATTATCATTGTTAATTTGTGCTATCACCAATTTTTTTTTTTTTTTTTTTTTTTTTTTTTTTTTTTTTTGTGCTGGGGATTGAACTCAGGGCTAATCTACCACTGTATTACAACCCATTTTGAAATAGTCTCACTAAGGTTCGCAGGCTGGCCTTGGACTTAGTTTCCTTTTGCCCTAGTCTCCCCAATAGCTGGAATAGTTGGCATGTGCCACTGCACTGGGCTTTCTTGTTGATTTTATTGTAAATAACAATGGATTAATTATTACTTATTATTACTGTAGCACGCACACCCATCATCTGAAAATATGGAGGCACTCTGATGGTCATAACTGATTCCGGGAAATATTATTTTCTTTAATGAGAAGTAATAGAAAAAAATTATTTTATTATTATTATTTCTATTTCCTAATTAGTCCTTGGGCTAAAACTTAGGACATCACAAATTCTGGGAAATTTCTCTACCACTGATTACATCCCCAATATTATATTCTTATTTTTAAATTTAAAACTTAATTTATTTCTTATTGGTAATAAGGATTGATCACAGAGTTGCTGTACAACTGATTTACATCTGCAACCCTTTATTTTTTATTCTTTTTTTTATTGTGAGACAGTATGTTAATAAATTGGTGAGGTTGGCCTCACGATTTTAATCCTCCTGCCTCAGCCTCCAAAATAGCTGGAATAAGAGGTCCTCATCGATTCACCCCATTTTCATTTTATTTTTTGAAAGATATTGTTTTATTGTGGCTAGAACCATAAATTCGCCCATTTGTAGTTTTAGGAATTGTAAGTTGAAGTCAACAGTGATTAAGTCAAGCAATCTTCAAATGAATTAAACTTAATTTTAATTGTCTTTAGAAAAGTACATCTATGGGTTGAGAGGTGGAGAGCATAGACATATGTCATGAAGACTAACTGTCTTTAGATTTATTATAGTCATTGAATCAGAGAGAGAGAGAGAGAGAGAGAGAGAGAGAGAGAGAGAGAGATTTTAGATGGGTACCCAGAGCAAACACCTAATGTAAGTAAGTCTGAAATTATCCTAAACTTTCTTTGTCACAATATTAAACTTGCCCAAATTAATGAGAAAGTAGCTTTTTTTAAAATCAAGATCATGCTCATCTTATTATGTCATTTGTGTCATAGAACAAACTCAGCCTGTCTATATTTTTTATATCTAGGTTTTTTATTGCAGGAAGTTAATAGAAAGATATTGCATGACTCAACTAAAAAAAAAGCAGTGACCAAAGCCCTTTTATAGTTGTAATTTTCTCATCAAGACAGAAGGATAACACTCTCTTGTCTCCCACTTTCCTCTCGCTCCACCATCTATATTTTTGGTTACAGAAACATGGATTCTCATGCCTTGCAAGACTTCCAAAGTGCACTCACATGCTCCATTTGCATGAATTACTTCTTAGAACCTGTCACCATAGACTGTGGACACACCTTTTGCCGACCCTGCCTCTACCTCTGCTGGGAGGAAGCCCAAACACCCAGGTGCTGCCCTGAGTGCAGAAAAATAGCAGAGAAGACAGACTACAGGACCAACACTGCCCTCAAGAAGCTGGCCTCTCTCACCAGACAGGCCAGACCTCGCTCTGTAAGCAGCTCTGGGGAGCAGCTCTGCAGGAGAAACGGGGAGACAAAGGGGCTCTTCTGCAAGGTGGACAAGAGCCTGCTCTCTGCACCCTGCTCTGAATCACCCAAACACACAGTTCATAGCTACAGCCCAGTGTCATGCACGGAGGAGGAGAACAGGGTGAGTGATGGCCATGAAGTATCCTCCACAGAGTGGGGTCCAGATCAGAGAGAAACATGAAGACTCATGATAACGAGGCAGATGAAAATGCAGATGGTAGAGGTGGTGACGTTTCAGTGTACATCACAAGATGTAAAAGTGTTGTTTAAATGTTGATCAATTTGACACTATCATTATAAATAAGTTAAATGCTCATGAAGGAAATTTCCTCTAGAAATATTGTCCAAATAACAGGGTATGGTGGCTATGCCACTAATTCTAGCTATTCAGCAAACTGAGGCAGGAGGATTCCATGTTTGAGGCCAACCTGGGCAACTTAGCAAGACACTATCCTTTTCTTTTTTAATAGTTTTTTAGTTGTAGATGTACACAATACTTTTATTTTATTTTTATGTGGTGCTGAGGATCGAACCCAGTGCCTTCCACATGCATGGTGGGCACTCTACCAGTGAACTACAACCCCAAGCTCTTCTTTTGTTTTTTTTTTTTAAGGGGCTGGAGTATAGCTCAGAGGTAAATTCTTGCCTACCATATATGAAACTTTGGGTTCAATCTCCAGTACAGAAAAATAAATAGAGAAGTAAATATATTGTGCAAGAAATATGGGATTCTTTCACTGAAGGCTGGACCCTTTAATGGTGAGGCCATGTAAAAACTGCTTTATCAAAAAATTGAATGTATTATCTATAGACTCTTTTCAAAAACTTTTTTTTTTTGCTTTTAATATCTCAAGTATTAAAATCAATTTAGACTAATTTGTAAAAACCTGACTTTTTAAACTCAAAATTACTGCTCTCCCAAACACTGCTTGATTCCAGTACACAAAAGATGAAACCTACAAGATTGTCTTTCCTATCACTAACGCCTATGGTTATTTTTCAGGAAAAAAATGTAAAGGAAATGGATCATTTATGGCAAATGACTCAGGAGATGCAAGATAATCTAAATGAAGAAATTAGTAAATCTCAATCATTTGTGGTAAGTATAAAAAAGTTTTCTTTATTTTTGTGCAGATAAAAATGAAGCTATCAGCTAAATTTGAGATAACATTGAAGGATACTGTTTTCTTCTCAGACAATGCAGTGATATCTGGTAATATTACAAATGTACTGGCCAACACAAGCTAATTTGATGAATACTAGTATATGGGGTGAATGAGGCATAACTGGTATTCCTCGTCCAACTTTGGTGGTTTGGATAAATCTTCTCAGACACTGAGGATAACACATTATTGAATTGACTTAATTCTGGAGGAGAGGAGTGAAATAGATTTTCACTTATGGGCAAAGTGAATTATTTTTTAAATTCACAATACAGTGTGTATATAAATGTTTTAAAATATGTAGAAGAATCAGACAAAGAAAATTGAGGTAAAGAGAAAATAATTCAATAAGAACATTGAAGTGGCATCATAGGGAGATAGCCTGGGACTACTTAGAGATCTTGATTTAAACAGGAGAGAGGTAAGAAAGATAGAAAGTACAGTCAATAGTATTAGTAAATATTTAGGAGCATTTTCAGGTGTGAGATGAAAAGTATATGAAGTACTTGCTTGATGCTAAGATAATAATATTCAAAGTTTTACATTTTCTTTTGAAAGTAATCTTTTAAAATAAATATCTCTTCAGTACTATGTGGCCTTAAGGAAGAACATGATTCAAATTCGGTATCAAATGATGCATCAATTGCTCCTGGAGGAGGAGCGATTTCAACTGGAAACAATAGAAAGAGAAGCACAGGAGATTGTGCAGCAACTCAGAGACAGTGAAATCAGAATGGCTCAACAGAGGGAAAGGCTGAAAGAAATGTACAGGGACCTGACTGAGATGTGCCACAGGCCTGACATGGAGTTGCTCCAGGTGACCAGGGAGGGTTCATCCTGAGAGACAGGAATCATTGTCTGGGCAATGTTGCCTGCAAAGCCCACTGTGTTCAGCTGAGTGACAGGAGCTCCTTTATAACCATCATTGTCCAATCATTTTTTTTTCATTACATTCTGGTAATCTTGAGAGAGTATAAGTCTTTGAGAAGGTCAGTGAGACAAAATTTGTGCATCATTGAGACTAGTATACACAAAGAGAAGTTATCCCAAAACTCAGTAATCATAGGAAAGTTAATTTTGTTGAGGAAATATTCAGTTTATGTTTCCCAACTCCATCATCACCCTCTGTTCTCCTGCACAAAAGCAGATGAAGCTTTGCCCCTCTCCTAGACAAGATGTACAGACTTCACTATTTTTCAAATAGTTCACTGTTTAGTTGTAATTGTCAGAGGGAGTCAGATCTCTCTGGGAATAAGACTGGGAGATGAGTGACACAGGAACCTAGGTCCTGTTGCATCCCTGCACAGACCCTTTCTAAGCCCTATCCTCTCAGTGCACCCCGAGGCTGTCTTCCATGTTTAGTGTGGGCTTTGGTATTAACATAGCCCCACATGATTTCTCAGAGAAAAATGAGAAAAAATATTCATACACACACACACACACACACACACACACATACAAACACACACACACATACACACACACACCAAAGTACCAAAGAGTATGCAGAAGGACAGTGTTCATATTATTAATATTACCTCTTTATTTTTTATTTTAGGACTTAGGAGACATATTTAAAAGGTAAATTTTATAGAATCATCTCTGGTTTATGAGAAAGTTGTTTTTTTCTTAATGAAGAGAAATTATATACTTTCAGTTATTAACACCTTTGTGGATATTTAATATTTTGTTTGAAAAAGAGGCTCTGAAGTAATATGTTCCTTGGTTTCAAAATGACCTTATGTGACTGAATTCAATTATACCTATGAATGGTTTAATGTTTTAGGCTTTGTTTACCCATTCTTTCTATTCTCTACAGCCTAGTCCCAATAAACTTTACTAAGATGATTTTTATATGATATCCCAAAAAATGATCGGATTATAGTGAGGTAGAAGGTTTACAAGATAGTAAAGAGTAAGTTTCCCTAGAATGGGAAAGGGAGGGGGCTTCATTACCATGAGTAACAATGACCAGATCCTGTTTCATCATGGCATACTCCAGGTGTGGGCAGAACTCAGAGGAGAAGGGCTGCCTGAGAACCCTCAGGATCAGTGCTACCAGGCTGTATTAGATCCCCTCCATGGGCAGAGATAATCAAAGCCACTGGTTCAAGGAATCAATGACTACATTGGTGATCTCTGAGTACCAAAGTCCCAAAGGTTGAACATTCTGCTTTTTGTAAGATATGCAGGATCTTTGCATTTCCCAAGGTTGATTCAGGAATAGAGGAAGGGAATGACACTCAGTATTATTTAAGTTGGATAATGTTTGAGAAGAATAAAGAGGTTGGATTTTAGTACATTAAATTTAGAAAAAAGTATCATACAATCCCGAGAATGTTGAATAAAATGTATAGCCAATTCACCAAAATGGGAGGTTTCTAACATATCTTGGGTTAAAAATGGTATCTTTGTAATGATATTTTGGTTAACCTTTGGTTTAAAAGTGTAAGTCATGTCATTCTTCCAAGGATTGAGTTGGTGCAGATGCAGAAGCCCCAGCCAGTGAACCCTGAGCTGTCTTCATCGCACATCACTGGAATCCTTGACATGATGAACAAGTTCAGAGGTAAGAGTGAGCCCAATGCCAGTCATGTTCAATTTTTTAATAGGTTCCTGAAATAAGATGCTTCCCATTTTTAATTTTCTGACATGAACATTTATATCTTCTTTCCCTTTCTAGTCATAATACAATGATCAAGACTGCATTTGTTAACTTATAGCTCATATACATATTTTAGTTCTGATACAGACAGTACAAGGGAAGGCTATTATTGGTGTTTTGTGGTTATTAAGCAATAAAATGCTTCCTTCTTAGAGAAGCAACCAATATTTTATGTTATTTCAGTTTATTCTAATTTTAAAGATTTTAATATGATATTGGTGTCTTTAAAATATGTTCTATATTCCAAGTGTATTTATGATAAGTAATGGGCAAATAATAATTAATATTTAAAAACTAAAAGTGTTGATAAACAAAAAAAATGACTAAATTTGCTATAAATATAACAATTTTAATACCATCAGATGGATTTCAGAACAACCAAAAAGTGAGTGATCTGTGAACATGACCCAGCCATTTTAGTGCCCCACTAGAGAAGAGGTCTAGATATCAGAAGGATGAAATCCAAGTTTGATTGAATGAATGGTCTCAGCAGATAATTTAAGTCAGAGATTCTTTTCAGTAAAGGGTGCAGATGTTGCTTTCCATCAAATTATTTTATGTTTGATAATGAAGTAGGCACAATCATAGCAAAGTGATGTCTGTTTATTAATGGTATTAAAAACAACTCAAGAAGAGATTTCTACTAAGGAAAAAAGAGTTTTGGTTGTGACCTGAAACAAACCATCCAAAAGTAGATATTAAATCACCCCTTCACACAGTACATGATACATTCAGGCTTTTTTGTTTTTCATATAATTTAATGATTTCTGGGTGCTAAAGAGAACATAGGAACCATTCTCCATACACATGAGTGAGTCTGAATTCTCTCTTCTCTCTACCTTTTCTTAGAAGAGGAGAAAATAAAGAGATTGATTAGGTATGCAATCTTTGTCCAAGACATGCAAATGCCATTTACTGATCTGATTTTTGTTTTTCTGTGCAGTGAATAACGGGACTATTCAAGGATGAGCCAATCACTATATGATCCTTTCTGATGAAGTTATAAATAGGATATTTGGAGATAATGGTGCAACTGAAGATCCTCAAACACTGGAGAATTCTGTTATATGGGGTGTTGAGGACTTTACCTCTGGTAGACACTATTGGGAGGTGGATGTGGGGAACACCTCCAACTGGATTCTGGGTGTCTGTAACGATTTTATAACAAGCGACAGTTTTGATTGTGAGAAAGCATTTCTCTTATTTTCCTTAAAGAAGAACAACCACTGTAGTCTCTCCACCAACTCCCTTAACTCATTGTGTACAAAGGCCTGAGGATTGGGTTGGGGTGTTTCTTGATTATGAGAATGCAAAAATGAGCTTCTATGATGTTGACCAAGGTTTCCTCATATACAGTTTCTTTCCTTCCTCCTTCAAATCCCCTCTGACTCCTTTTATTTTCTTTGGTTCTCCATAAAATTGAGGTTTTCCTGGGCATGGTGTCACATGCCTTTAATCATAGCTACACAGGAAGCTGAGACAGGAGGGCCACAAGCTTTGAGGCCAGAGTGGGCATTTTAAAGTGATTTAAAAAGGGGGGAGTGGGGAAGGATGTAGACCAGTAGTAGAGCACTTGCCTAGCAGGGGTGAGGTTTGGGGTTCCATGATACTGAAAAAAGAAAAAAAAATTAAAAAGGAAGAAAATAAAAAAGAAAGAAAATGAGAATTTATTGGAAAATATCCATGTCTAAAGAAACTGTTCTCGGGACTCTCTCATGTCATGTTACAAGTCTACACATGATGTCTGTGGGTCCTTTTTAACTTAAGGAAGTATAATCATTTTATCATCATAAATTGTGACAACCACATTGAATTCATAAATTTGTTTACTAAATTTTATTTTAATAAAATGTTGCAAAACCACCACGATGTGCTTTGAGTTTATTTTTCAGTCCATTAAAAGAAATTCAATGCCTATTAACATTAACTCCCCATTCATTCCCACTTCCCACTACCTGGAATTCTCTTAACTCTTTAGGTTTTTATGGATTTGTGTATTCCAGACAGTTAAAAAAAATAGAATTAAAAGTGTTGTTCTTTGTATCTTCTATCATTTAGTATAAAACTTTCAAGAATCATCAGCATTGCAAACTAAGTGTTTAATTTACATTTTTGATCAAAACTGTGGCAGAGGATGAAATGATTTATAAATTAGCTTTCTAAAGAACAGAAAGCAGCTAAAGCTGCTTAGATTTCTCTCAAGTATGACCTATTTGGGTAGATCCTGGTATCTGACAGATTATTATTTCGGCAAGTCCTAGTCATTCATCACATCTCAGCTCAAAGCCTTTTCATTGAAGTCATCCCTGCTTCCATATACCAGGGTAATTCCTCTTACTCCACACTCCAAGCATACTATAGCATCCCCTAATCTTCAGCAAACTCTGATCAAATTGGTATTTACTTATTACTACTAGACTCTAAATTCCAAGATCAGAAGGGTCATATTTGTCATATTTATTACAATATTTTCATTACCTAAAATGCAATGCTTAGAAGATAATACATGATACAAATGGAGTGAAAGATTGGATTAATGAACCAATAAAAGTTAGTATCAACAAATACTATTATAGCATTAGGATGCTTCCAAAAATGCAGCTAACAAGGGCCAAAAATTCTAATAAGTAATGTTAATGAAAGACAATAGATTGATTTCCAGATTCATAATCTTCTATGGGCTGTATCTGAAAGTCTATGAAAGGGCCATGTGTTTAAAGGTTCCTTCCTGAGATGAGCTGTTGATTCACTAGTTATACAACCTTGGTGGTATGCAAGATAAAAAAGGATTCCCCAGCGGGGTGGCCCAGCATAGTGAGTAGACCCTTTGGGACTGAATTGCAGAAGACTTAGAAGTGTTGATGAGATGTGGATTGTTGTCTTGGCCGTGAGTCAGATCCCTGAGCTCTCCTCACCTAAGCACATCTGTTCACTTTCTTACAAATCTACATCTAATGAAGGAATGTGCCAGTTCAAAGTGATTGTAATTGCTTAAAAAGGAGAAGGCAACCACACATCACCTTTGCTTTTTTTTCTGTCCCCTCTTGCTTCCCCTTGGCCAAGTGACTGCCCTGGGCCAAACTCAGAGAATAGAGGGAAAAATAAAAGCACAGGTAAGACTGAGAAGAAATCTGAGATGCTTTTCCAAGAGGACCACTAGAAGAGGCTCAGGTCATCCACATGTGGGGCAAGAGGGTGATGTCTAGGAATGTGTTTGGAGGGTTAGATTGAAAATGATAAGTGTGGGCTAAGGAGAAAATGGATTTGCTCACACACCTTACAGTGGGTGGAATCTGGCACTACTGGGATAACAAAGCCTTCAGCCTTCAGTAGACTTCCCAGAGGAACCTGAAATCTTATGGCACATATAGTGCTTGCCTTCAGAGTGTCCTGAAATCGGCTACCTTATAGACCTTGCTCAGCGTGTGGAGATTTTTATGCTAACTTGTGGACAACAGACATCCCTTTCGTGATTGCATTTGAGCACCAGAAACATAAGGATAAGAATATGGATATGAATGTAGCCATATGCCCAAAGGAGACTGGTTGTGGAACTCGAAACTCAACAGCAATTTTGAAATACTAGCCTTGGCAGTTGCGGATACCGAACGCTAGGGGGCCCATGCTTACCTTGACTTTAGAAATGCTGATCTCATTTTTAGCCTTTTTCTATCACATATGTTCAGCATTCTCTTTTTAACAGATCAGAAAATATATGTGAACTGTATGATTTTTCAAAGTCACACACATGGAAGCTACACTTTGAGTGATTTATAACCGCATGAAAAAAATAGTGTCAATGATGTAATTTTGTAATGACTTAGAAAACAGTAGGGGATGCCAATGAAAACATAATCTCCCATTTATAATCGGAAAAGCTGCAGATGAGAAATATAATATAATAAAGAAATATAATAAAGAAAATGTCATGTTTCCAATACATCAAACTATTACTTCTTTTGAGGAGGCACTCTATTATATGGGAAAA